AAATAAAAGTTTTTAATCTGTAGTTGGGTAGCACTCACAAAACAACTCTGCATTCGTAGCTCTGTCTTCAGGTGTTTCTAATACTTCAGTTTTTTTTACCGGTAATGTTAATGAGGCAGAAATTGAAGGTTCGTCGGACAAGTTGTCATTTATAGTTTCATCCACATAAAACTCTTCAGATGACACAGCTTCTTTTGTTTCCTGGGTTCCAGAATCTGGTGCAGCTGTAGTTGCAGCTTCTGTAGCATTAGCTGAACCAACATCAGCATCAGGAGTATCGTTATTCGTATTATGAGTCTTTGGTGCACTAATAACAAATGTTGCATCAAATTCTTCATCATTGTTTGTCTCCTTAACAGATGGTGATTGATAAAAAATGCTATAAGTGGCTTCATTGTCGGCTTGTTCGTTGTCAGTTCGCGATTGTGCACTTCCACCAGACAAAGTCGACATTTTTGCACAGTTTCCTGAGTAAAATAACAGTTTTCCTAGCACCGAGAAAAATTGATAGCAATTCGGTTGATTGAGAAAACAGAATTTTCTTGCTAAATAGGTATCTGCTCTCGGAACTGTTGTGGTCGCTTTAATATTGCATGATTTTAATAACCAATAAAGATATTGGTGAAAGATGAAATATTGCTGACAGGTGTAGCCAAAATAAACAAATTCCAATGATAACGATAATACAGTGAAGAAATTTGATAACAATAGTTCTATTTGTTGAAGTCCAGGTAGAGAACGAGAGGCAACTGTACAGCAAATTTCAAAATAATAATCGTTGTTATGATGCTGATCCAGAAAACTCTTGAATATCGGTGCTGCAGAGCACTTGGAGAATTTCCAGCAAAGCTGTATCGGTGGATTCGATTTGCGGTAGAAACTACTTTGCTGCACCGCACTGCACCACTCAGCAAATAAGCTTTTCTGATTTAACGTTGTAAATTGGTTTAGCCAATGCTGATCGAACTGATTACGGAGCAACTGTGCAAGACTTGCTTGCTCTGCTGTTACAAGCCGACAAGTATTGATTGATTTTTTTTGAAAACCTCGGCAAAAAACAGAATCAGTAAACGATACCGGGAGTAAAATCGAATAACATAAAGACAATAACGATAATGGTGTTATGTATGAAGCTGAACAAGATGAACACTGTGAAGTATTTAGCACTCGTACTGCACCACTGTTGTTGATGGTGGTTGAAATGATGGCGATGGTGCTAGTGGTATTGGCGGTAGTGGTGGTGGTGGTGGTGACGGTGGCAGCAGCAGGAGCAGCAGCAGTAGCAGCAGCACCAGCAGAAGAAGTATTGAGACGACCACGGTTTCGCGATGCTGATGACGGCATCAATGTAACAACAGGTTTGTTCAATCTTTTCGGCGATACTGATATAGCGCTGTCATTGGTGCCTTCTACAACGCTATTCCACCCGTAGCTGCTCCATTTCCATGACCTTTGACTTTCGCTTAGGTACGATGTCAATCTTGCGACAGTAATTTCAAATCTTGCAACTGCGATTAACGTTCGGCATCCATAACTATTTCTCATCACTCATTTATATTTTTGTTTCAAATGTTTTTTTGAACTTCTGTCAACTTTTTTTGCTTCTGATTTCCCAAGCACTTTTTACTTACCGTCGTACGGTCATATTCAGTTATTTTCTGCCATACTGGTTATCGAATAAACAGTGAAGTTTTTTTTTCGTGTTTTCTTGTGTGTTCGAGTTGAAAAAGCTGCTGTAACAGAGCCATTTCGAGTTACAATAGTCCTCGACCAATAAAAATATTCAAGAAACAAACTTAATCTATGCCATAAACTACTTACCTAACTTTATTAAACCTAACTGAACTTTCCTACTATTATAGTCTAATAGAAGTAAAATTTAAAATTTCAACAATGAATATAGGCATAACGCTGCTGATACACCGTGTACAAGCAATATTTTTCCTTTCCAGATAAAGATAATTTTGTCTAAAAACTGGCAAATATTTTGCTTCATATTGCGCTTACATCATTACTGTTTAGGAAATTACAATTAAAAGTTAACGGAGAACTGAAATCGTTTGTAAATATGCCGGGAGTCGTAACGTGAGATTTTTGAATAATTTTTTCTTCTTACTTTAAAAACTTCCATCGATCATTTCTGTTCAGCAATAATTGATCTCTTTGTTGTAAATGAAAAGTTACTGCGTCAACAGTGTTCTGAAGTTTTTGCTAAGTCACTTACTAATATTAGAGAACTGACAAGAGTTTGGAGGGGCCTGCAACAAACGGTAGCAGAGGAGTTTGAAACGGTGTTTGCGAATAGTGGCGTTGGTGATAACGGAAAAACATAAGTGCCGTACTACTGAAAAGAGTTTTCAGGAAACTTTTGGAATGAGTATCAACTGTTCGCTGTCCTGACTACGTCATTGTGACCTTCAAGAAGCCTCTTAATTAAATACTTTGTTCTGCAAATTTCCCTATGCAATTTTATCGGTTATGATAAAATCGCTTTTACCGCAAGCTTTATTTCCGCCCTTTATATTTCAAGAGTGTAATTCAAATTTCGTGAAAGCCTAGAAAAGTATCTTTAATTGGCAGAAAAAAAGAAAGATATATCTAAAAGAATTCAAAAAGTCTTTCAAAATTTTCACAACTAAGGACCTTTCATTTACGTAAAAATAATAAAAGCATATTACAATTAACTAATTAAGTATAGGAGCTTTTAGGAATGGTTTTAAACTGCAAAATGGATAACAAAGAAAGACGAATAACGTGAAAGGCTACGAATAAACGAAAAGACAGCATTAACAATTTGGAAAAATTTTTGCTTATAATTATAAGTACAATAAAAAGCTTATAAGTACAATAAATTTAAACCAAGTCTTTGCATTATTCTGCATCAGCTCAAGTCCTGAAAGTTTGAGATAAATACCAAAAAATTGAAAAGCGTGAAAAAATGGTATTGAAAAAAGGTTCTCAATTGTCTTCACCCGGTCTCTCCTGCTCCTTCCTTACACTTCTTAGGCTAACGTTTTAAGTGTTTCGACACATAAACTGCAAAAAAGTGCTTATATTACTAAGTTTGACTGGGATAAAATTTTGGTACTTTCGTCTGTAGCGTCTTGATTTCTAAACAAAAAAAGAAGTTTTTTCTATCAACGAATTTAAGATTAGTCATCCAAATATATCATGTATATGTTGTCTGTTTAAATTGAAAAAAATGTTTATCTGTATTAAAATGATCGATACAGAACTGGTAATAATATCAAAGAGCATACTGGAGTAGGATTACCAATTAATGCTCACAAAACTAATACTGCTGATACTATATCAGATGATCTGATGCTCTCATTTTTTTGGTAGTAAGTTAAATGTTTATTGCAACCGAATATATTTTTGCAATTTTTTTTAAAAACCTTAGCGCAGATCAGTTCTCTACAACAAAAATACTGACAGTGATAGAGCAGACAAAAAAAAAGCGTAAAAAAAGGGGAGGGAGAAAAAAAAAAGAATATTTAGGCAAAAAATCTGTTGTCAAAAATTATAAACAACAACTGTTCGGTGCAATTCGCAATATTATCACATCAAGTAGTTTAGATGATTGCGCTTCTGTTGTTGAAGGCTCTCCTTTTCCTCCAAACATTTCTATCAATTCGATCGAAAGTTTTTGTCGAAAGAAGAGAAAAAAAAAGAGCATAAGCAACCGGCGATGATCCATTCAACAATGTGAAATCTTTAACAAAAACTAAAGAAAGAGTAAAAAGAAGCATCTAAGATTACTAGAAGATCTTTACAAAACTCATAAATTAACCACTTTCTTTCTGAAGCCATTACTTCTTCTTGTTTTTTTCATTCATCTCACTCTATTTTTCCAGCTCATTTACTCATTCATTCGTTCATTCATTCCTTCCTTCATTCATTCACTCATTCACTCATTCATTCATTCATTCATCCATCCATTAATTCATTCATTTGTTAATTTATTCATTCATTAATTTATTCACTCGTTCATTCATTCATCCTTTCATTCATTCACTCATTCGTTCATTCATCCAGTCATTCGTTCATTCATTCATTCATTCACTTTTCAATTAACTGTGCCTATTGCCAATCATTTGTGCTGTTAACGAAATGTTCAAAACAGTTCCTCTCCAAAACTCTTGCCAATTCAAACATCATTTTCTTCTTCATCTTTCTTTTTTTTTTTGCTCAAAAGATTATCAAATTTAAAGCATAAACGCTTACAATAAAAATAGCAAAAATTATGAAAAAAATACAAAAAGAATAGCTGAGTAATTTTAACTCATTTCCAGTTTTGTAGTTTCGAATCTAGAAAAGTAAAAAGTTGAAACGAGTAGGTCTAAAAAGTAAATTGCAAAAATAAATTGGTTCAAATGAAGAGCTAAATTGGTCCGTCGTCCGCTAACAGAGGAATTAGGAGACAATAAAAAACAGTAGAGCAGTATACGACCTGTAAACTGTAACCATAGTCATAAAGACTAGAAAAATGCAGAAACATCCAGATATAGGAGCAGTACAGTCAGAACTATTTGAGAAATAAAGCCGTTAAATTACAGTGTAATGAGGCTTCCAAAGTGAGATGAAGAATAATTAAACAGACTAAGCTAACTGGTTCTTTAGAGCAGATAATTTTGGAAAAGGACTATTTATACTTTCTCTAACAACAGTCATCATTACCACAACAATAAACAATTCAGATGTCGGTAAACAGTACATTAAAAATATACCATTTCTCGCTTTCCCCTTACCCTTTCCCCCGTTCTTGCTCGTATATTACTTTTGTCAATTTTTCTTTCCATATTCTTTCTGCTTCTCTTTTATTTTCCTTCAAATGTAAAGCAGAAAAAAAGATTTATTTCTACATGTAAATAAATAAAACACAAAGCAGAAAAAATGTCTTTAAGATCTTCTCACTAAAATCTTCTGCGGTAATTTTGTATAAACACCTTAAGTGTGTGCCGTTTTTATGGCTGTGCTTTAGGTTCATTCAGTCAGTCACTGAGCTTTAGTCAGCATCAGTCGTTCCAGACAAACTGCCATCATCATTGGTGGCGAGAAAGTTTGAAGATAAAAAAAAACAAAATAAGGAAGAAAACGAGGTAACGCAAAAGAAAAACAAGAATTTTGAATTCATTAAATAACTGTTTGGACTGTGACTAAATAATAGCAAAGCAACAAAACAGAAAAAAGGAGAAAAGAAAAGAAAAAGGGATACTGACAACAACAATAATATCAGTCATCTTAGTTGGTTTCTCAATTACATTAGAGTTTTGTTAATGTGATTACTGTTCTTTATTTATATTGTCAAGAAAAAAAAAACAGAATTTTTTTCTTGTTTGTCCCGGTAGACAATTTCAAAATATCTGCTTACAAACTGTAAAAAAAATGATATTTTATTGTTCAAAAAAAGAAAAAAATGAAAAAAAAAAACCAGGAATATCTGTCTGACCAACCAAATATCTATAGATTTTTTTAATCGTAAAACTAACATCGATAAATCGTTAAGCACAGAAAAAAAAAAAAAACGACGAAAGCATAAAGCGTCAAAAATGTTACCCATATCATCTGAGAAACCATATTTGCTTCATCATCTCATAACCTTGATTGTCACTTTGAAGCCATACTTAGCTGAGAACGTTTACTTAACCATAAGAAGATTAAGAAACAACTAAGAAAAGTCTATGTCAAGCAAAAAAAACAAATCCTTTCTCGTTTTTTTTTTTCCCCGTTTTTTTCTTCCTTATATTACAGTGATAGCAAAGAACAACAGCGACGGCAATAATAATCAAAAACAACGAGAAAATAGTTCCTGAAAATAACTGGAAAACTGGTTTGATTAAGCCTTTCAAAAACAAAAAAATTTAGCTCCCCTATATCAGATGCTTCCCAATTCTTTATTAAACATGATAAATCAGTTTCAAATGACATCACACTTCACTTTTCCCTCTCTCTTTTCTAATAAACAAAAATTTTCTCTCCACCATTTACTGCCTTATATACAGATGTATTTTTTTCTTAAACAATCCTAAACTACTATGATAAAGGAAAAATATGTCAAGCAAAAAATCCTCTTATCAAAGGTAAGTAACCCATACAAAGTTGGCGAACAGTATAGCGTTGGTAACGTTGAAAAACTTTTTGCAGATCCCACAAAAATAAAATAAAATCAAAAAGCTAAGAAAAAAAACAGAGGAAAAAATAGCAATAACAATTAAACATACAATCAACAGTAAAATAAGGTGATAAGCATTTAAACAAATAAAAAATTCCAATTCTACTCAGTTTTTTCCTGTATGAAAAATGCCAACAACAACAACAACAACAACAACAGCTGCCTAATCAAAACGGTAAATAAATCTTTACTTTTTGAACTCCTAACTTTTGCTGATGAACTCAGTTATCCCACAAACGTAACAAATTTTTCATACC